AGGATTTATATCATCAGCAGTATGGAATCCTTAATGATTCGAGTAGGGCCTTGGTGCAAGTGGTACACTATTCTTGTTGAGTGACTCTGCGGGAATAGCATTACTAAGTATTCCTAATCCCGTGTATTTGAGGGTCCCATCAGGTTTCTGTGTAATATAAGCTTCTTGGGTTCATGAGGAGTAGGTTCGGGAGTTTTGTAGAGCTTCTATGGGCCTCTGTGGGTGTTTCTAGGGTCGGGGTGTTGGGGTTTTGGGGTTGACTCTCTGAAGATTCTTCATGGTTTCTGGGTGCCCAAATCCCAATACAGGGGTTAAGATGTTTGTTACTGTTCCAGTGGGATCCGTTTTTTAAAAGGGACGGGGTTCAAGGTTGAGGGTTTTGGCAAAGGGTTCAAGGTTGAAGGTTGTAGCGAGGAAAGGGGGAATATCGCTTTCGGGGCTTGGGGCTTTCGTCATTCATGGTCACAGGTTTCAGGGTTGAACGTTGTTAGTTTGATGTTGATTTGAGGTTTGGGTATTAAGGTTTGAATGGTTTAAGCTCAAGCCTTAGCGGCTTTGGTCTGCGAGATTCCTTGGAGCTCAGCATGGTCGGGAGACGAGCTTGCTTCCGATGATTCGAAATGATGGTTGGCGGAAGTGGTCTAACATTAAGACTATCTCTTGGCAGACCCTCTAACCCCAAGCCACAAGTCCAAAGAATATAGCCACGAAGCCTCTTCTTATCAATCTACAACCTTCAATCCTAGATGCTCAGCCCAACATGGAACACTAACCTACCTCTTCACAGACCCTGGATTTCCCTAAGCCCTTGGCTCTAAGCCTTCACCGCCGAACCCCTGTAACCCAGGCTACGTCTTTGCCCCGGTGGTGCGGATGCTGGAGAAGTTGGGCTACCAGGAACCCAAAATAGTATTGGTCAGTATTTGGGCTTCTATATGAGCATTACCCTAGGTACCTTTGAAGTGATGGGGGTATGGTATTCCTATATTGATACTGCTACCAGGAAGGTGTGGATCTGATCGCCGCGCCCTATGACTGGCGTTTCGCCCCGTCGGTGATGGAGAAGAGAGAGGGATCCTTGTCTTCCTTCTTGAACCTCAAAGGGTTTAGGACGGGGGTTTCAGGGTGTAAGGCAGTTTGGGGCTTAGGAGGGCAGTTTCGGGCTTAGGGTTGAGGAAATCGGGGCCGCGGATGCAGCACGTTGTCGAATAGGTGCCTGAAAACTCAGGATACTTCCAGCGGCTGCTCGCAAGCATTGAATCCTTGGACAAAGACGGTACCGGGGTGATCTTGCTGGCCCATTCCATGGGTAACAAGGCAAGCTACCAGCCCTAAACCATCCTAAGCCCTAGTCAAAGCCAAAAACTAGACGCCGGGCAGGTGGTGTCCTACTTCCTGGACTTTGCAGTGAAGCAGAAGGGGCACCCTGGCTCCTGTTCACAGGGCTCCTTCGAAGGTCCTCTCAAGGCTTCCTAGCTTTAGGGTCTGAGACTGAAGGTTTAGGGTGTCTGCAAGGGAGCTCTTCAGGGTTTTTAGCATCGTGGCACCATGACGCGAGAGGCAAGCCTGGGTCGACAAGCACATCCACCTCTGGCTCCGGGCTCGCAATTCATTTTTTTTGTTTTGGGCGTCTTGGAGGGTTTAAACCCTGAGCCCTACAACCTAAAGCCCTAAACCCTGAGCCCTGAACCATGAACAATAACTTTCCCTAAACCCCAAAACCCTGCACCGTTTGGAACAGCTAGGACCTAGGATCCATGGGAGGGCTCCGGCCGCAGGATACTTGGAGGCCCAGGTGAGGCGACTGAGCCAGTAGGTACAAGTACAGTCATAGGGTTGATGATATAAATCCTGCATTACCCTTTATAAGGAACATACCATAATTCCCAGAGTTTAGGGTCCTTAGTAGTGCAGGATTTATATCATCAGCAGTAGTTAGGACAGTTAGGACTCGGGATGAGCCACAACAAGGATTCAGGGTTATACCGGAGCAGGACTAATTCTTAATGCAGTGCCTTGAGGTTCCTTAATACTAGGTATACTAGAATATGTCCCAAAGCTGTGTTCTCATTGATATAGGAAACTACATGACTTACAGGCGCAATCATAGCCTGCTTACTAAGTCCACGGGTGGAAGGATTGTGCATCAAGGGCCTGGGAAATCTGTCTAACATGGGCCTGAATAGTTACATGATATCGTTCCTTGGTGTTCTGAAAAGACCGCGGTATAATCATGGCACGAAGCCTGAAACCCTAGACCATAAAACGGGGCCGGAACTTAAGCGGCAAACTCCTGCAGAAAAAGCCTTCTGAAGCCTGCAAGGATCCACGGTTTAGGGTTTGGGGTTTAGGGTTTGGGGTTTAGGGGTTTAGGGGTTTAGGGTTTAGGGTTTAGGGTTTAGGGGCATCTCGTCGAATCGATGAAGAGCATCACAAGCACGAGACAGGTGCACGCCCAACTCATACCGCTCAAACCCCGAACTCTAAGCCCTAAGCCCACGTAAAAACCAGCGCTCTGAACCCGTAGGTTCGTACACTAAACCCTACTAGCCTACCGGTAGTTGGAAGCCCGCAAACTCCATAAGACCTTAAAGCCCGCTAAGCTCACAGAAGACTTCATAAACACCCCTAAACTCCAAACCCTCAGAACTTCCGTTTCCGCACCCTTACATCTACGTAAACCTTATAAACTCCTATATACAACAAAAAAACAGCAGCTTCTCGCCCGGGATGGACAGAGGCTCGCTGCGGGCGCGCCGCATCTCGGTGCGCCGCAGGCGGTGCGCTCGACTGTGCGGCCTGGCCTGGCTGTGTCCTTTCTCTGGAAGGGCTTTTCTGCATTTGAAGGTTTTTGTTTTTACAAGGGTTCTGTGTGGTGGGGTTTAGGGTTCAGGGCTTATCTTAAGTCCCAAACGAGTAGGAAAAGCCTTCATGGAGTCTGGTCTTCAGACCCAGAAGCCTTGAGAGTAGAGCCCAGAGGGCTCCAGGATCAGGGTGAAAGCTGATAGGTGGGGAAGGCTACGGAAAAGCCCTTGTGCCATGACAAAGCAGTACGATGTTCCAGCTTAGGCGACACCACAATACAGCAAAGCTTTTCGAAAGACTGGAGGGAAACAGCAGTGCAACTCTTTGTACAACACCGCACTCAGACCTCCAAATGGCGGTTTGCTGCTGATCTTTTGTGCGTCCGGAAAAAAAAGTGACGTGAGCCGTGCATTTGATAAGCCATGGCCGAACCCGCAGTAGATGATGCTAACTTGCATCAACAAAGTCCTAAACCCGTAACCCTAAGCCCTAAACCCTAAACCCTGAACCCTAAAACCCTAACCCCTAAACCCTAAAACCCTAAACCCTAAGCCCTAAACCCTAAAACCCTAAACCCTGAATGCCTAAACCCTAAACCCTGTAACTCTAAGCCCTTGTTCCCCCGCCGAACGTCGAGGTTCGGCGACAACTTCGGCTTGGATGCGTTCATCACCGACTCAGAGGCCGGTGGCCTGTTCTGCTTTTTTTTTGGTAGGGCTTTCGGGTTCCTTTAAGGGTTCCTTTAAAGGGTGCTATAAGGGTTCCTTTAAAGGGATCTATAGGGGTTGAGAGTTTAGGGTTTGGGGGGTTTAGGGTCTAGGGGTTTAGGGTCTAGGGGTTTATGGTTGAGGGGTTTTGGGGGTCCTAGGTTTTTTTTATTAGGGTTTCGTGGGTTGACTTGTTTGTTTATCTGTTCATGCATTTAGTCTTCTGTTTATGTCTTTCTCTACTTGTTCATGCTTTGAGTTTTTTCACTGGCTGAAGCGGGAATTTGGGGTTTGTTGGTTTAAGTTAAGTTTTCAAAAACTCATCATAACAACCGCGAAAAAAACAAGAGCAGCAATAGCCATGTCTGTCTTGAGAAACACGAATAGTTTAGAAGCCGGGGTAACTGGCAATATCCAACACACCCTACCTCCTCCCCCCCTGACCAATGATTCAGGCACCTTAAACTCTAAGCCTAATCCTTTTGTACCAGGACGTTGCATTCGGGAGTTGAGATCTCCCACTTCTTGCTTTCGTCGGTTTTGGGGTCGAGTGCCTGGGTTTAACGCCCATGCCCTAGGCCGAATATTGTTTAGGGTTCAGGGTTCTAAATCCGAACCCTTAAACCCTAAACCCTAAACCCTACACCCTACACCCTAAACCCTAAACCCTAAACCCTAAACCCTAAACCCCTAAACCCTCAACCCTAAACCCCAAACCCCACTCCCTAAACCCTTCGGCTCTCGACTCGCCAGGCGCGGGCCTTCGCGCGGTCGCTGAGCGCCTCGCCATGGCTCTTCCCACAAGGCCCGGACGGGGTTTAGGGCTTCGGGGTTTAGGGCCATAGGGTTTAGGATTTAGGGT